TTCATAAAATCTGAAAAAAAAATTTTTTTTTGAATTTCTGGATACCAAAGAAATAATCTCATGATTCAAGAATTTAGAAAACAATAACAGAATTTCAATTTTCGTTGGTCCAAAATTATTGAAATTTGGGTTCTAATTTTTAAAAGAAGTTAAATTCCTCTGTAATTTTTGGAAAAATTCATAAAATCAGAAAAAATTTTTTTTTGAATTTTTGGGTACCAAAAAAATAATCTCATGATTCAAGAATTTAGAAAATGATAACAGAATATCAATTTTCGTTCTTGGTCCAAAACTATCGGTACATGTTTCAAAATTTGGGTTCTAATTTTTAAAAAAAGTTAAATTCCTCCTAAAACTTTTCTCGTGTAAAATGATCTGAGAAACACGTATCTGGCCTCAAAAATGCAGATTTCCCTATAGTTTTGAAGTTATCGCTAAATATCACCCTTAGTGGTGATAATTTTTTAAAATACCTAAATACATGTTCCTAATTCCCAAAAAAAAAAACAAGAAAAAAATTGGAACAATAACAATTCCTACGTAAAATAACCTCAGGAATCAAATTTAGTGTCAAAGTTACAATTTTTTTAATAAATTCAAAGCAATCGTCAAAAATTCGCAAATGTCGATGTTTATTTTTGAAAAAATTAAAGTTACTCTGTAATTCTTGGGAAAAAAAACTCAAAAAATTGAACAAAGGCTTTTCTTATGTAAAATGATTTAATAAATCCGAATCTGCCCGCAAAAACCCAAATTACCCAATAGTTTCAAAATTATCGCCAAAAAACCCAAAGTACCGTGTCAGTTTTGAAAAAATCCTCAAAATAACAAACAAAAACTTACTTATATCACTCGGCAACATCTCCGTGGGTGGCAAAAACGGACTCAACGGTGTCATCACCTTCTCACACTCCTCCCTCTGACTCGCCCTATATTGACTCTTCACCGGGGGATTACTCGAATAATACGAACTCAAAAGTGGCGATTTCAACAACTGATGAATCTCCCTATCCAACAACCGATCCATAATCCTTGCAACTTTCCAACAATCATCCTTATAAAAAGTCAACAACGTAATGGCCAAATCCCCTTTCTGCCTCCTCGTCCCCTCACACAACAAGGGATGATCCGCTTCGGAAACATTCGCCTTCATCCCTAACGCGGCCACAGCCGCCTCAAACCCCAACGGCTCATCCGTGGGCAACCTCAAAGAGGCAATTTTGGTACGATCCCTCCCCACCACCCCGGGAATCACCAACGCGTCGAAAATGAAACTCGCCAGCATAGTTGGCAACATTGCCTCCCCACGCGACTTGATCGTCCCCTCCTTCAAATGCTCCGCCCTCTCCCTCAAAACCTGCAACTCCTTGTGCCCAAGCGGGATTCTTTTGAGGAGGTTGACCAAATCCGACTCCTGATTGGCCAATTTCACCTCCAAGGGTTTGGTACTCGCCGGTGGTCGCGCCATCTCCAACCCGAACATCCCCACCCGAAAGGCCAAATGGTAGTGTTCGGGATTCTCCGCCAAAACCGAACACAAAAACGCACATTTGGCCAAAGTACCCGAGGCCAAACAACTCAATTGGTGCGAGGCCGGGTTGACTTGCTGCTTCTTCCCCTTGCGTTTGGGGATGGGAGGGATTTCGATCATCAAATCTGGGGGATTGGCCAATAACTCCTCCGCGAGTTTCACGCCCAGGATGCACGCCTCCTTGCTGTGCCCATGGGCGTGGAGGCCTTCCGCGCGGGCGAATAGCACATCCCATGGGTCGTCGCATTTCCGCACGTTGGTAAACACTTTGCCCTCCTCGGAGGTGTCCTTGGAGGTGGTCCCCTCCACCTCCTTCGGGTTGTAGAAGTAAACATTGTACTCATCCCCCGAATTGGGGGACTCAGAATTACTCGAAAGGCTGGATTCGTCTTTACTCGCCCTTCGCGGGTATTGAGTATCGAGTTTGGGGTTGGAGGAGGAGGAGTCTTGTGAGTCATGGTCATCATCATTCTCACAGAAGCCTTCACTACTCACACTTGAACGGTTACCGTCACGTGGGAGGGGGGCATGTGGGGGGTACTCAGCCGGATTGAGACTCATCACTGAGACGAAATCGAATCTAGTGACCCGGGAATGGTGATGATGGTAGTGATGGTGGTGATGGTGACAGTTGAGGACTGCTTTACTCGAGTTGACTTGGGTTATTGGGTCCCGATTTTCTGACCCATGACGGAAACAAGTGAATGGGCAATGGTACATAGGATTGATATCTTGCGTGTAAGTGATCCCAGGCATGGGGTAATCATCCCAATCGAGATAACATGCCTCAATTGCCGGTTTGAACCCAGTGAAGACCTCCAGGTCCATTTTTAAGGTCCCACTTTTGTTGCCTCCTCCCTGACTCGAATTCCTACATTTACTCACCTTTTCGAGGATTTTCATGTGCCACGTGGTGAACTGGGAGTGGAGCATGTCGCGTTCTTGGGGGGCAAGACCCGGATTCAGGGCTGCCAACCTCCAAAGTACCACAACTTCATCGCAAAGTGACGAACAGGCATGTTGGGAGGCATGAGTGTTACTATTGACGTTGTTGTGTTTTCCTCCACCTCCACCTCCATACCCCGAATTCCCCGATAAAAGTGCCACTTTGGTGTTGAACCACCAGATGAGGATCTGCTCACATGCCATACACTCCTCGGTGATGATCTCCAAGAGGGGTACTGCGTTTCGGTCGTTTCGTTTGAACATTTCGCGGACTATACTCAACAAATTCCACATGCCTTCGGGTTCGCGCCCCCGGAGGGGGCGCAGGAGGGAGGTCCACTCGGCGGCGGCTGGGGGCGCCACCGTGCTGAGATAATTCACGTCGCTGAAGACCATGGGGGCTGGGACGCAGAACTTGATGAGGATCTTCTTGATGTTGTCGTGGAGGGCCTTCTCGTCGAGGTACCAGGAGGTCTGGTCGTTGGCGGAGGCGCCGGCGGTGGGGTCGGGGGCGCCGCAGACCGAGTTGATGGCGGAGGGCTGCGAGCCGAGGAGTTCGTCGAGGAGGCGCTGGGCGGTGGGGAGGATCTGTTGGGGGAGCTCGCTGATGAGGTATTGGGCGAATTTTTGGAGTTGCTCGCGGTGGAGGCGGGAGAGCGACTCGGAGACGGGGGCGCGAAGAGTGACCAAGTGCGGCTGGAAGAGAACGATGAGTGGGGGAGAGAGAAGGGGGTACGTACCGAATGGATGCGAGTGAGACAGACGGCGACGATGTGAGAGCACCAGTAGGCGGTGGAGTCGCAAGTGCAGTTGCAGGAGGAGATGCGACGACGGTCGAAGGTCACGGCGACGGAGACGTATTGAGTGCCGCGGTAGTTTTGTTGGACGCTGGCAGAGAGGTGGAAACCTAAGTTGAGGAAAAAAATTATATACACTATTTTTTCTACTACCGAATCTCGCATATTCGCAAATGTCAATGTTAATGACCTTTGAATGATCCAAGGAATCCGAATCTGTCCGCAGTAAGACATATTTCCCTTAGGTTTTTATGTTATCGATAAAAATCACTCTGAATTCTCGAAAATACTTAAATATTTTATTTTACAAAAAACACAAAAAAATTGGACAAAAGCATTTCTCATGTAAAATGATCCAAGAAATCCGAATCTGTAAGTAATCGACCAAAATACACTAGTTTTTACATTAATTCTTAAAAAAAAACCTAAACTGTAACTTTTGAAGAGGTTGAAGAAAAAAATTAAAAATAAAAAAAAATGTTAAT